AAATTTTTCTACCAGTCATTCAAAAACCAACCGCCCTCCGCCGCCCCCTGAGACGCTCCACTCACAGAAACACCCGTTGCTGTTTTCATTTTTATCCGACAAAAACCATGAACGCTGAAACTCGACCAGCCCGGTTGTCCGCGTTGTGGACATCCAGCGTGCTCACCCGCGTGCTCCTGGCGCTTGCCGCCTTGTGGGCGCTCGTCCGGTGGACGCTGGCCCCCGTCGTCGTTGACCCTCCCAAACACGTTGAAAATAATAAGAAAACCGAAGAACCAGAGGCTAAAGTGACGGTTAGCACGTCCACTAATGCCGTGAGCCACCCGCTTTTCCCTCAGAGGGGTAAATTGGACCACCATGTTGTCACTACTACCACCGAAGAAATTGATGATGACGACACCCAATCGATCGCCCTGGACCTGGAAGTGATGAACCCCACCTTGTGTTCCACTGGGTTAACCACTCAGATCATGCCGTTCAAGAACGAGAACGGAGAACTCGAATGGACGTTCGCCGATAAGGACCTGGCCAGCGACGAGTTGGACGCGTTTAGACTTTCTCCCTCGACGCTGAACGAACTGTCTAAGTCGTTACTGACCCCGCTGCTGCTGGATAACTTACAAGGAGACGCCAATAACCTCCACGCCTGCCCTTATTGTCTGGCTACTTTCAAAATTAGAGGCTACTTAACTCGCCACTTAAAGAAGCACGCCACGAAAAAGGCATACCTGTGTCCCTTCCACCAGTACACCACGTACGTTGACGACAACAATATCACCCACAAGTGCCACCCTAACGGTGGGTTCTCTCGTCGTGACACTTACAAGACCCACTTAAAGCTGCGCCATTTCAAGTACCCCAAGGGCACCAGAACTAAGGAAAGAGGCTCTCTGTCAGGACTGTGTGGCTTGTGTGGCGAGTACTTCAACAACCCCGAGATCTGGTGTGAAATCCACATCGAAGGCGGCCAGTGTAAGTTCTTGCCCCCTGGTTTCAAAGGGAAGTCGCGTATCCTTAAGAAATTGGAAAAGCAAGGCAAACAAGGCATTCTCGCCGACTTGGTTCCCAACTACGACGTGCTGTCGTTGACGGCGCTGCAAAACAGCAACCCTTCCGACGGCACTGCCGGTATGACTCCCAGCTTGACCCCGAACTCCAACACCAATCTGACGCCTCAAGGGTCGTCCCCTGGTCGTATTTCGCCTGCGGCTAACGGGCAACAGATGCTGGTGGCCACCACTGGCTCCTCGCAAGGAGTGGGTACTCCCAATGGCGTGTCGGCCTCTTACGACTACAACCACTCGCTGCCGGCAGCGCTGATCTCGCTGCTGATCCCGCCGCTGAAGCTGCCGCCGGTGCCGATGAACGGGGCCTTGCCCCAGTCGCAGTTGCCGCCGCCGCCCCACTATCCTCAGTTCACCGCGGAAGACCAGATGATGATGGGCCTCCCCATGGACCTCACGGCGCCGATGGCGAAGCTGTACCCTACGGAAATGCACGTGCCTGCTCAGGACGACTACGACGACGAGTTTTGCTTGGACACCGACCAGTTGTACATGTACGACGTGTACCAACGGATGATGGAGGTGCCCCCGCAATTCTCCTTCACCGCTTAAACTTTTAAGCAATATGGTGAATCGAAACGACGTTATGAGCATGCAACACTTGTATTTTGAGTAAAAGGGTTTATTTATTGGTTTAGGTTATTTGTATAGGTAGGATTAAAATGAAGTATACTATGAATTGGTTGTAGAATCAATCAGTCGTCTGATCAGTCATCCAATTAATAATTTGTCAGTCGGTTTCGGCAGACAGTGACCAACTCCGTGTCGCTCGCCGTTCCTGGGTGGTTGCCACCACCGAGGAGAAGAAAGTCCGACAAAATTTATCCCGCCCGCACACCGTTGATTCGTGGGTAGAAAAAGCCGAGGTGAAACAGTCTAGCCTCCCGCTACCGGCTCTAAATGCCGGGCGTCAAAAAAACTGCCGGCCGAGTGTTTTCTTTTTCGCCTTTGTCCCCTTTGTAAGGCGACAATAGCGACATTTTTCTTTTTGAGTAATTTGCTAAGGCGAACAGAAAAATCATTTTAGCCCTACGACAGGCGATATCCTCATGGCAAAGAAAAAAAGTCATGGTATAGAAAAAACAGAAAAAAGCGTAGGCATTTTTGCAGACGTTTGTGGAAGATGCCGTGTGATGTGGGTCTGCATGGATTAGCGGTCTAGGTGATGTCTACAGTAAGCTATAGAACTAGTGAACTTTTGGAAAGGTATACGGTGACGTTTAAGAAACTGAGCATTATGATCAATCTTTAGGCTTCGATACAGATTGCTCTCAAGGGTCACTAGCCTTCTCTGGATTCGGTATCTCGGTAGATGCCGAAGGGCTTATCTGTCATGGCAACCCTATATTGTCTTTGGGGCGTACAAGGAGGGTGACATGTGGCAAATGCTCCCTGTTGCCGTCACAAAGACAACTGAAGCAGGTAAACGATTAGTCAACGGTATTAGTGGCAAATTCCTAAGGGGCGATAGTGCTTCGGCGATTGGCTTTTGAGTGATCTGTGGCTCTCTTCGATTTGTTAATGGTATGAGCGAGAATACCCTTTTGGGACAGATATAGAGAAGCTATCATGCAAAATGATTTGCTCAACAGAGCTCTAGAATCCCCGTATTGGTTACATTCGCTGATGTAAAGCCACTGCCTTGACGACGAGTCATCCTTGGGGGTGACGACCACTTCTCAATTACTTTCGGCGATAAGCGTATGAGGATGGTTTTGTCCTCTGATACCACCTCTGATAGTATCCATTGCAACCTGTAACAAGTCTGTTTTCACGTTAATTGAGCATGGGTCATCCAAATCACTCAACTGTACATGGGATGACCAGTATTTGCAATACTGTAGTCATCATTTGTACAATCAATAGATCATCTTCAAGGGAAAGAAGAGAATTTTTTACAGTCAAGTCAAACCTCTATAGTAGTCATGTTTCGATTAGTAGCATGTCTAGCCGACGACAATACATGTTGCTATTGTTGATGCATCGGTATCGCGTACGTGATGATGTATGATCAAATTGATGGTCACCGTTAGTCTCTTCTCAAACGTGAAACCAAACAATAAACTAAACTTTTACAATAACGCTGAAGGCGTCATGACAACGCTGATGTGATGCAAAATGCCGCAAGCCCAGCTATCGCCCGTCGTCAGCGTGGGCTCCCCTGAATGTCACTGCGGCTACCCCTTGAAGAATGCAGGAAGTGACATTGCAACGACGAAGCGACTTAGGTGAGGACAAAGTGATGCGTTTCTTATTGTTCCAATCCTTTGTTTAACTCTCAAAAGAATCATGTATGTTTGAGCTGTCTTGCGACCAAAAGCGACGTATGTACTTCTTATGCTTACAGCTTAATTAGGCGTGTTTATCATCAAGAAAATCGATCACAAAACGATGAAAAATTTAGGTTAACGGTAACCTAAAAAGTGGCATGAATTAAGGATATCTTTTGAAATATTGTCTGGATGTTTATATTCTAATGGCTCATTAGTTACCACTCACTTCTACACTGTTGTCAATATCGTTTACATTGATCTATCATCACGGTGCACTAATTATCGAACCAATAGTACACACCTAAATATGTTATAAAATCGCACGTTACAAAAAGAAAACCGGCCGGCGTTAGTCATTAGCAATGTGGAAGTCCACTCCCGAGAGGCTACTCCGGGTTGGCCACATGGAGGATTTTTCGACTGTAGTCGGCGTCGTCGGCTAACAGGCCTTCACTTAAACGACGACGGCCCATCATCACCGGGTTTAATCGAGGGTCGGGTAGCGCTGGCGGTCTGACCCCGCCGACGGCGTGGGCGTCCAGCGGGTGGTCGAAGGGGTTGGTCATCGGCATATCGAGCGCGCCGTTGCGCAGACGTTTCAGCCCCTTGGCGGTATTACCACGACCTAAAGTGGGACCGTCATCGAACTTCTCAGGACCGTATTCGTAGTCGTCGTCGTCGTCGTCACCGGCTTGGCGGCGCCATCTGATGAAGAAGAACGCCATGAGAGCAATAACAAGCGCACCACCGACACCACCGACAACACCACCAACGATAGCACCAACATTAGTCAGTGATTTCTTCTGCAGCGAGTTTGCCAGCAGCAGCAGCAGCGCCGATGCTGCCAGCGCCAGCAGGGTGGGGTTGGCGATGCTCAGGGTCTGAGTGATGGTCACCACCAGATTACCTGAGGTCAGGGCGGTGTAGATGAGGGTATAAGTCAGAGGCGGCGCTGAGGTCGTCTGAGCGGTGGTATCGTCAGTTTTAGAAGGAGGGTTGGTGGTGGTTGACGAAGGGGAGGTAGTAGGGGACGACGTCAGCGAGGGAGTGGTGGAGTCAGTGGTGGAATCTTCAGACGTTGAAGTGGTGGAGTCAGTGGTAGAACCAGTGGAAGGGGCAGAGGTTGACGGGGTAGATGTCGTCGACTGAGTATTGGTGTCCAGGTCCAGCGATCCAGTATCGGGGACGTCAGGGTTGGCGAAGACACCGTAACTGTTGGACCCACCGCAGTTCATGGTGCCGAACCCTTTACAGGGGACGTTACATGTACCCGTTTGCCCCAGCGGTTTCAGCTTTAAGCAGTAGCACTCGCCACCGTTCTTCAACGCATAGTAAGGGAATTTCCCCTTTTGCGAACACTGGGTCTGGCACCACAGCGGCAGCGAGTAGATGTAGTCGCCCGCCAGCACCGCGCCAGAGATCAGCAGGAGACAGAGCACCTGCTGGTCGCCGTCCGCCGCCAGCGCCGGTATGAGCGCCATTAATAGGACAAGAGCTAAACTGTACATCGTAGACTATGGGTCAGTCTGTTTGATAGTAGTTTTGATGGAAATAAGCCTGGGAATCGGCCTGCCAAAGGGAAATATAGGGATAAGGGAACGCGTGGAGGAGGCCCGCTAGTGATTGGTATTTATAATAATAAAGGTATCCACAGCTACCAGCAACCAGCAGAATACCAAACGGGATCAAGGATCAAACGATGGGATGGGGGGGGAACGGTAAAAACGAACGGGGGGGTTGGTTGGTCAATAAAGGGAAGGGAGCTGGAAAGGGGTTTTTTTTTCTCGATCAGTGGTCAGAGGCGGTGGGTGCGACAGGAGGAATCTCGTCCTGCACAGAGGCGCGGTGCGAGCAGGTGAGCTGCGGTTTCTTTTTTTTTTAATTCCCTTTCTACGGTGCGTTTTGTGGCTTAAAATCCGTACTAAAGCGTGAGCCTGGTATTAGCAGGGGAATGGGGCACAGTACGAGAAATGGAGTTCCGAACCACTTGAAATATGACACGGACACTACCACTATCAAACTGGTAGATCGACTAGCCCCGTTGGAAGCGCCATTGTTGACACAATGGGTCTAAGCAGTCGACGCAGTGGTGGTCTATTCTTGGGATCGTGACCATGTAGAGTCTAAAATACCCCGATTTGTCCACGCGTCGCCGGTGGGGGGAGGCACGCGCGGTGCGAAAGGGCGACGCGACCCACCTGAAAATTGCTGCGAGGAACGCCCCCCCTGCGATCGCGACCCAGGGTGAGGAAGGGGATCAATTGGGTAGAGATTCTACGGGTTTCGTGGCTTGTTTCATACCCATGGTAATAGTGGAGTCTTCGACATTCGCGTATTTTTGGTTAGGCGCCTCGATGCCGTCGGGGCGTGGAATGGCGGGTGGTTTAAGCTCTAGTCGCGTGGTGTTTACAGTTTTGGGAGTGCATACATTTTCGATAAATATTTCCGTCAACAACAACATTGGCTGCACGTGACGCAGCCCTGCCTACGCCAGCTTGATCCGAGGGCTAACCCTCCGGCCCCGAGGGCGATGAGCCTGCCTCTCCTCCTGCTAAAAGGCACGCAGTCTGTTTAGCCCCAAATCGGCGACGGCAAACATACACACCCAGAAAAAGGAGGGGCGGGCCCCAGCGCGATTTAAATGATGTGCGCTAGCAATGCCAATTACGAAGCCTTAGAGTCGATTGTTTAACTGCCAAAGATATCGTCGATGGCCAGCTTAGCCTTTTTCTTCTTTTTCTTGTCTTTCTTGTCCTTTTTGCTCGATTTGGCCTTGGTGGTTGCGAAGGTGTCGGTGATGGCGGCGATGGCACTCATGTCGACAGTGCTGTCGGCGCTGCCGGCGCCGGAAACTGTATCGACGCGCGCCACCGTCGGAACTTTGCGAGTGGTTTTAGGAAACTTAGCCTGAGGCTCTAATTCGGCGAGTAAAGCGTCCACTTTCGCCACCACCCCGATTAGAGCGATCCCCAAGTTGATAAACTGGCCAAGGGCAACCATCAGGTTAAACTCCCAGTAGCATTTAGGCAATAGCCGCTTGCGGAGGTAGCGGATAGTCACGCCATCCTCAGGATTATCCACCACCCACCGGAGCTTGCGGTGTAGGATCGAGAAGTATTTCCACCATGTACTTATTCGGTGCTGGTTGCGACTGCGGTAGTATATGAGATGGACGATCTGGTACTCGTTGACTAGGGCTGGGGGGGCTTTGGTGGTGGACACTGCCATTGCGAAGTACTGAACAGTCGCGATGCTTCGAGCGCAGCGACAAGTCTAGAGCAAGGCCTAAATATAAATGTGAAACTATCATGATTGATTGTCATTATCGTGAAGGTACTAAGTTGTTTTTGAGTGACTTCAGATTAATGGTAATCACCATTCGTGATATACTTGTGACTAAACCATCATTGCTGCAAAATCGCGATGACCAGCTCTAATCGAAATCGTACTGATCTCAACCAGAATTACAATTCCAAAAATACTATATTTAGATTTTTTTATGAAACGCTTTTTAGCCTTAATTTCATTTCTTTTATTGAGTCAATATGGGTACCAATTCCATCTGAGACTGTATAGCTGGCAACTCTAATTCTTTACCACAAATGCTATTTACCTAGAGCTTTACAACGAAGATCACAATAGGTTTATGAAGTTAAGTTTCATAAATGATACTGACTTAGACGTTGGAATTGAATTTTTATTTCAATGTCTATTTCCTCGTTTGATCCCCTTTCATGTCTTATCTCATCGCGGCTTCTTCTGGTGCGAGATATGAGTGAAGCCATCCTCGAGCAGACGGCGAGTCTCCCTGCCGACGAGGCGCTCGCCGTGCTCAACCAGCACCGCAGCCAGTATGAGGACGACGTGCCCTTCCTCTCCCACGTGGCCGAGTGTGCGTTGGAAGTGGGCGACGTCGACGACGCCTACCACTGTTTGACCAAGGCGTGTCAACTCGACCCTGAAGCCGCCCAGGGACCGGAGAAATTCTTTTCCTTGGGCCAAATCACTGGGGGAGAAGAAGGGGTGGCTTATTTTACTACTGGCCTCGCTAGGTTACGAAATACGTTGGAAAATGGCGTCACCACTCCCGAAGTTATCGCTAAGATGATCCTGGCGATATTTGCGACGGTGGAAATCTGGTTGACCGATTTGGCTGACCACGACGAATCTTTAGCCAAATGCCAAGAGTTGTTAGAGTATGCCCACCAGCTTGACGATTCCAACGGCGAGACGTATGCGTTGAAAGCTCAGGTGCTTATCCTTGAAAATAAGTTTGCCGACGCCTCCACCGCCATCCACAGAGCGTGGGAACTTATCCAACAACGATTGGCTCAGTTAGCCGCTGAAGGGAGCCAGGATCCGTTCGTTTACGTCGAGTTGATCCAGCCGATGGCGCTGATGATTAAATCGGCTTTGGAAACGGCCAACTACGAATTGGCGGCGTTGATGTGTCAGCGTGTAGCTGAGATCGACGATAACTTATTGGAAATCTACTATTACGAAGCCCTTGCTCACTTAATGCTGGTAAAACAGGCATTAGGGTTAGACCTTGATGCTGACGTGGACGCCGTCGTACAAGCAATTCAAGCCCACGGCGATGCCACGCAAAAGGCCGAGCTTGAACTGATGGTCACTGACGCCCGACTGGCGCTCACTCAAGGGTTCCGAGTGATCCAGACGGCGGAAGACGCCGACGCCGACGTGGTGGAACAAGTGAACCAAATGTTAAAACCGTTAGGGGGACCTAACATGAAGGAGTTGATGCCACAAAAGGACGAGGACGTTAACGTCGACGGGTGGGAAGAAGAGTTGGATGATTAGAATGCATAATGAGTAATAGACAAAGAAATTTAGCGATTGTAGAGTCTGGGTTGTGGAAGCTATCAGTTACTGGAACTCTTGATTTAGCTACCATCAATTAAGCCATTCTTCCCATTTGAGAGAGCATAACCACGAGAGTTAACTTCAAGTACTACCTACATTCATGTTTTATGTCAATCATCAGGATCTAGATATCTGGGCATCTACATCTGTGATCGAATTTAACTAGCAAGAGTTAGACAATCAAGTTCTCTCACAAATGAAATCTTGAAAGGATAAGCTGAAGTCTCGACCATACACTACCTTACATCATTTCGATAAGTGAACAATATGAAAAGTATGTAAAACATTAACTCACAGTGCAGGGGCAGCGTATAAGCTGGGCTGACGGAGTTGTAGCACGGGCATAGTCGACATCGGCGTTGTTGTAGCCGTCGCCGGTATCGGAGATGGCTTATCTATCGGCCAAACGGTTATGCCGATGGCATCTAGACTTTCTCTTTCTGATTTTCTTTTACCCTTATTTCTTTTGCTGGGATTTCTTTTTTTTTTTATTGAAATTTTTCACGACATTGCAAAACGTTTCTTTTGAGTGAAAAATTCAAGAACACTCGGAGACCGAATACCTAAACTGGGTACCTAAACTGGGTTGCATCAAGCCTAGTCATGTAATGATTTGATCTAGACTAATGCAATTCATTAGAGCCTATTTTGGTAGATTGAAGGCTAGACCCGTCAGTTATTGGTTAGCCACTCTCAACTATAGGCTTGCAGTGTGAAAACAGGCATAGCTGTAATCAGTATACCTCTAATTGATCCAACCTAGATCTACTGGCTAACCCACTGGTTCAGGCATTCTGTTTATATCTAGGCTGAAAGGCTATCATCGACTTCCGGTTAGACCGTTAAGACTTTCTAGTTAAAGCATTAAGACTTCCTGGCTAGTCCTCTGATTAAGGCTCAGTTGTTGAAGAAGTGATCAGGGCTTGATAGTTAGAGAGGTGGTCAAAGCTGGATTGTCAGAGGAATAATCAATGCTAAGATGTTAGAAGGTCTGATTAGGGCTTGATTGTTAGTAGCCTAAACATGGCTTAGTTGTAGATGTCATTATTCGTTATGCTAGAGTTGTGGGGTGCCGATGACCTTACCCCTTACCGGGGCCACCGAGACCAATTTGCCCCTCACCGGTCGCCCGTGGCCGTCGACCATGTCCACGTCTTCTTCAACTGTCTCCGTCAACTGTAAATGGGCTAACTGCTGGAGGAAGTCGACGTCGGCGCCACGGGTGACGTCAACGACGATGTCATTACCCAACGCCATGGTAACCTTGCCCAGCTGGTGCAAACGGAGCTGGCCGATCTCACCACTGGAGCCGCTATAAGTGGGTAATGCCGGTAAGTGCATGATGAAGGGAGGAGCGTCGGCGTGGGTGACCATATCCAAGATCTGTTGGTGGTCGGCGATCATTTGCGAGTGCTCGTCGGCGGAGGCGTTGGCCTCGGTTTCCTGGACCAATTTCAGTTCGAGCTCTTTCTTCTTCTCCTGAATCGTCTCCAAAGCGGGCGTTTCAGATTTAACTGGCAGCGGCAGTCGCGTGGTGTCGCTGTCGCCGTCTAGACTCACCGAGCCCGGGACCTCGGGTTCCGGCGAGTTGGAGTCGTCCCTGGCGGCTCTCACGGGGAACAACGGCTCGTCAAAGTCGGCGTGGGTCATGTCGATCTCCGTGGGCTCGTCGGCCTTGAGAAATTGCGGGGCGTCGGCCTCCAGCAGGCCATTGTTGTATACCTGGTCTCCCGTCAATCCTAGCTTATTCATCAGCAGCAGGCCTCCGAGAGACACTGATCCTGCCAGCAACGGCCCCAGCGACACCACGTGAGTGCCCTCGTAGCGGTTTCTGCCGCCTCTAGCGCCGCCCCGGCCGCGGCCTCGGAAGGCGCCCCGGGTGGGTTTGGTGGGGACGGTGGGGGCCAGCGGGGCGTCTTTGGCCCGCTCGATCTCCAGCTTCCGCTTGACCGCTTTCGGCTTGAACTTGAGGCCCGGCTTGCTAGGTTTGGAGAGGGACTCGAGCCGGTTACTCATCGCGGTATTGGGAAGGGGTGTGCGAGATGGTGATTTTCGAGCCGCACCAAAATCCAGCGATGCCATGGCGCATTAACAGACGCTAACAAAATCGCACTACCAGCAGTCGCGTAGTGTGAGAACTTTAGTGAGAAAACACAACAAAGAGGACAGCAGTATCCAAGAAATGGCACGAGAACAGGTCAGCATCAATACACAGTGGCATCAAATCATCAAAAAGGTGATAGCATCATTATCCAATAGTCGGTAATTCAAAAGAAATAGTAGTCTCGGGGGGTACTTACCCGGTGTCTCACTCGTAATCATATCTTGTGCAAATCAAGTCATCGCTCGGTAAAACTTCCAGCAACCAGGTCTACCAACCGCTGGATCAGCCGGATGGAATATTATCTTTTGACAGTATCTGACGCATGGCTAGCGCATTTCATTTACCCGAATCGCTCACGGCAACCCCCCGGCCCCTTCGCCACATATAGGCCCCCGTGACAATTTCAGTGAGCTAATTTAGTTTGCAGCAAAAACTATTCTCCACCATACACTACCAGTCAATATCGTACACCACCGTACACTACCCGATTGGGACGGTGTTTAGGGTACTGTCTATTGAGTACTAGGTTGGACCCGACACTAGTTGGCAACTAATCTTTCGACCCCGCCAATCACCGGCTGGAGGCGCTATTGTTCACTGGGCAACGCAGGTTCTGTGGCCCGAGCAGACGCTTGCTCGAAGGCACCCTTCTCGGGTCCTGACAAAAACAACAAAATACCGAAAAAAACAGAAATGGCAGAATGACAGAAAAAAGATAGACTGGAAAATGACCGCTAGTGCGCCATGGGAAAGTGTTAATGCGCCATGGGCGAGGTGACTACTTCCACGTGTACTACCGAGACAAGCAGGCTTTAGATAGAGAGTCCATCGGGCTATTGTTACCTCGCAAACGGCGTAGTGATCTACGGGCATCGGGGAGCGGTCCGGGGCGCCGTAACCTTGCTCAGCCCCGCCGTCCGTTTGCTGGCGCCGGCGCTCCCCCCTACTGTCGCCAGCAACCCTGGGGCGCTGTCGAGGGCGCCTGCTGCCAGCAAGCACTTTATCCGAGAGCGGCGGGCGACGGCCATCTGGCGCTGCCTGTGCTGACAATCGCCGAGGGGCAGCCAGCCATATGTTTACCTGCTCTCCTTTTAGCAGTGGTGTGGTGGGGCGCACTGTTTGGCGGGCGCTATTAATAGCGCGGGGGCCAGCGCCGCCGGCGCCCGCCAACCCCGTCCCCACCGGCGGTTATGGCCGAAGTATCCTACTACCTAGTCCTCTAGTTCTTTCTCTGTTGCGGTGTGGGTGATTTAGCAGCGTTAGCACCACTTAACCCGTCCATTTAAGGTGACATTGCTTGGGGGTCGATGAGGGCTTTATTATGGCTCTAGGGGGTCGTGCGCATTCCCGAAGCGCCGACAGCGCCCGTGTCGCCGCGGCGCTTCAGGGACCGACCTGCCAAAGCGCCGCCAAGGACAGGGGCATCACTTTGAAAATGACCGTCAACCTGCTTGGCAAAGCACTCGGTGCATCGTCGCTGGGCGCCGGCGATCCAGCGCCGCCGGGTGGGCGTCTCGGGATAAGCACCGGCTTTTTACTGTCGCCTATTGTTTGTGTCTGATAACGTCGCCGCCTAGGCGCCAGCGCCCGCCCCGCAGGCGCCAGCACCCCTAGCATTGTGCGCTTGTTGCCCTCCCCTCCACTAAACAACAACACACAAACCAGAGGATAAACATCGTTGACAGGCGCCCCGCCGGCGCCGCGAGGTGCGCTCGACGTCGGGGGCATCGATATCGGTTAACGTGGTGGTGGGCGCTGGGGCGGCGCCGCCCCTATTCCTGCCGCCGCCGGCGCCGGCGCCGGAGCTACCGGGGGGGCGAGGGGGCCCATGAGCAGGACGGTTGCGGGTGGCGAGCCCTGGCGCCGGCCCACCCAGCATTTTGGGTAACCTTGCGTTTTTCCGCAGCGCCCCGGTGCGCTCGTCATTTAAGGTGCGGGCGCCCCCCGCCGCTGCGGTGTGATTCTTCCAGCCGGCGCGACCCTCGTTTCCAAAACCCTTGTTTTCTCAAACACCACTTGGAACGCACCCTGAAACAAAACCCCCTTTCTTCCTGTGTGATCGATCCGTGCTGACCCAGCGCCATGGTGCGAGATCTCACCAAGAACCTGCCCCGGGCCGACCCGGAGTTCCAGCTGCTGCTGAGCGAGGCCCTCCACGACCCTTTCCAGGCGCTGGAGGACAACTCGCTGCACTTTATCGAGCTGCGGCTGGACACCCCCACCCTGGGCACCCCGGGGCTGCTGCTGGCCCACTTGTTGGGGCTGCACGACTATTATAACCCGCTGGTGAATAACCTGAGTCTGATGTTGCCGAAGCTGTACGACCGGTACCCGGAACTGCTGGCCACCGGATTAAACGAAAAAACCCTTGGCGACTCGTTTTCGGGTTACAAGTACGGTCACGTGGGCATCGCCGACTTCAGCCCCTTTGGCGGCTACCCGGCCCACCAGTTCCCCCTCGATATTAGCGAAAAGGAACCCGACGATTATTTGCACAACCCCGACCCGATCAAGGACGCCGAGTACGGCAAGCACCGGGCGATATACGACTTCAAAAACATGGACCGCCGGCTGGCCGGGGGCCTCTTTGGCTTCATCTTCCTCTTGCTCGCCGCCGTCGCGGTGTTTGTGTTAGTTCCGGTGTTTACCTACAGTGGGGTGACGCTGCATCCAGCCCCGGAAGTGCACACAATCTTGACCCACTACCTGTACCCGCTAGTCGGAGCTATCCGCAGCTCCCTCGTCGACCCGGATACCCCCGACGACGCCATGCTGATAAAAGCCCGCGACGGCTCCGACTGGACTCTTGTGTTTAGCGATGAGTTTAACGCCGAGGGACGGACTTTTTACCCCGGCGACGACCAGTTCTTCTACGCCCCGGATTTCCATTATGATGCGACTAAGGACTTGGAGTGGTACGACCCCGACGCCGTGACCACTTCCGAGGGCACCGTCAACTTGCGCATGGACGCGTTCAAAAACCACGACATGTTCTACCGGTCGGGAATGCTCCACACCTGGAACCAGTTCTGCTTCACTCAGGGGAGAATCGACTTCAGTGCCCGGTTGCCGAATTACGGGAACGTGTCCGGATTGTGGCCGGGTCTCTGGACGATGGGCAATTTGGGCCGGCCGGGGTACATGGCCACCACCGACGGGGTGTGGCCGTATTCGTACGAGGACTGCGACGCCGGCATCACCGCCAACCAGTCGCTGCCCGACGGCATTTCCTACTTGCCGGGGCAGCGTCTTAACCTGTGTACGTGTAAGGGTGAGCTGCACCCGAACCCCGGAACTGGCCGGGGTGCCCCGGAAATCGACGCGATCGAAGCCGCCACCGACTCCACCTTCGGCACCGGTGTCGCCTCGCAATCGATGCAAATCGCTCCCTACGACATCTGGTACATGCCCGACTACGACTGGATCGAGATCCACAACAAATCCGTCACCACGATGAACACCTACGCCGGGGGGCCCTTCCAACAGGCGATTTCCGGGATCACCACCCTCAACTCGCTGTGGTACGAGTTTGGCGACGTCGAGCACAATTTCCAACGGTACGGGTTCGAATACTTAAACGACAACGACGACGGCTACTGCCGGTGGTTTGTCGGCGACGATCCCACCTATACTCTTCACGCCAACGCCCTTCACCCCAGCGGCAATATCGGGTGGCGGCGCATCTCTAAGGAGCCGATGCTGATCATCGTCAACTTGGGCATCTCCAACAACTGGGCCTACGTCGACTGGAACGCCCTCGCGTTCCCCGTGACGATGCGCATCGACTATATTCGCGTGTACCAGCCGAAAGACCAGATCAACGTTGGGTGCGACCCCCCGGGTTACCCGACGCAAAACTATATCAAGCAGCACCCGCTCATCTACCACAACGTCAACGTGACCCACTTTGAGAAGGCCGGGTACACGACGCCGAAAAACGTCCTCACCGGCAACTGCAAGTAGATGGCTGGCCATCTCTGTTAATAGACACTAATACCGCCGGAAATACAAATTTAATCGTAATTACTACCTAAGTGATGATGTCCAGTCCAGAGACTGTGATCATGACTTACTGTGTGAGATGTGTATAGTTCAGCTTTATTTCAGTACTATGTAATGGTCTATCTCTTTGAATCACTAGCGAAGCGCTCGTAAAGTTTTAGATCTTTTTGAGAACGTTGTGGCAATTTTCAATCACAGTTTTGGAAGGACTTTTGAATTACATAAGAGATAGGCACGTAAAATTCATTAAAGTTCGAATCTGAGAAATTTCACAAAAAACTAGAAATAATCTCAAAAAAAAAAAGAATAAGAATACCAAAAAGATTCAGATAACCGTAGTTTTCCTCCGAAGGAAATGGTTAAATTTGTGGTAATTTCTCTGTCAATTCTCAAACGGTTAAATCGAAACCTCTTTCTTAATCCGCTTGTGACAATCGCCCCCACAAAAACACCACGTCGCGCGCTTCTCTCACATACCAATACAGATATACTGGGTCCCACCTATACCCCACCACACCTATCCCATGGCCGAAAGCGTCGAGCTCCGCGATCTCGGACCACCGCTGACGCCTGCTGATCCCTCCGAAGACGCTAAAACCGGGTTCAGCGACCGCCAGCTCCGCCTCGTGCTCCTCCGTTTGGGTAGTCTTTCCCGCGCCGAGTACTACGACACTTCCCTCGCTACAGCAGATGTGTTCCAGCTGACTTCAGTCCGTTACATGGTCGATAAAGTCCGTGGCTTAAGCTCCGACCACGCCGTGGCCATATTAAGGGACGCGTTGGCCGACCACCTCGACGACGTCAATTTCCCTCGGGACGAGTACCAGTTGCTCCAGCGGCTCCTCGAGGACAAAGACGACGACTATACCCACTCAGAAAAACCGTATCTTTCGGTTACGGACCGTGATTTGCAGATCAGACTCGAGGCGGCCCTCATACGGTACCACCTGCCCTACCCTGAAGTAAGGGCAATTACCGACCCTTACGACGACCCTACAATGCCGGTGGACACGCTACGAGCGTTTGTCATTGGTCTCGGGTGGACCGTCGTCGGATCAGTGATCAATAACTTCTTTGTCCACCGCATGCCGCTGATCCGCCTCTCCGCCCACACCGTCCAGCTTTTGATTATGCCGACTGGTAAGCTCTGGCACAAGTACATGCCTGACCGCATCGTTTCCGTGGGTGGCCGTCGCGTTGATTTGAACCCCGGCCCGTTCTCCTATAAGGAGTTGATGCTTGCCACCATCATGTACTCGTGCTCTGCGGGCACCCCCTACGCCGTGTACAACATTGTCGTTCTCAAATTGAAACAGTACTATAACCTGGAGTGGGTCACGTGGCACTACCAGCTCGTGCTTGCCCTTTCCACTCAATTCCTAGGGTTTGGCTTCGCCTTCCTCATGAAGAAAGTGTGTGTCTACCCTGCCAAAGCCATCTGGCCGACGATCTTACCGACGATCGCATTGAATAGAGCGCTCATCGCCGGTGACGACGATACCCTGGGGCCCAGAGTCGTCCACGGGTGGCGGATGCTGCGGTACCACTTCTTCTTCGTCGTCGCCATACTATCGTTTGCCTACAACATATTACCTCAATACTTGTTCACGACGCTTCTGAGCTTCAACTGGCCAACGTGGTTCAACCCTGAGAGCGTCCACTTGGCTAATGTCACCGGTTTCCACACCGGTCTAGGCCTCAATCCGTGGCCCACGTTCGACTGGAACGTCGCCGACTCTGCCAGTTGTTTGACCATCCCGTTCTTCACCTACGTCAACCAGTACGTGGGACTGATCACGGCGTTCGTGTGCATTCTCGTCGTCTACTACACCAACAGCAAGTGGACCGGTTACATCCCCATCAACTCCAACGGGCTCTTCGACAACAAAGGGGGCCGCTACGACATCACCCGCATCTTGGACGACAATCTGCGCTTCTCACCGGACAAGTACACCGCCTACAGTCCCCCCTACTACCTGGCGGCCAATCTCGTCCTCTACGGCGCCTACTTCTGCCTCTACCCGTTTGCCATCTTGTACAACTTCATCAACGAGTGGCTGCTGGTGCGCCAGAGCTTTGTCCACATTGGCCGCACGCTCAAGGGCCTGTTTCAGCGTAAAACTGAAGACGACCACGGCCTCCTGAACATGCACGACCCCCACTGCGATATGATGCTGCGGTACGCCGAGGTCCCCGACTGGTGGTTTGTCGCTATCCTCGTGCTTTCCACATGCTTAGCCATCGCTGGGGTAGTGTTCTACCCTGTACAAACGCCGATATGGGGTATATTCTTCACCATTGCCATCAACTTCGTGTTCCTCATTCCCTTGACCCTGATTGCCTCCGTTACCGGGTTCTCGTTTGGCCTCAACGTGCTTGTGGAATTGATCGTTGGGTACGCCATCCCCCACTCCGGTTTAGCCCTTATCACGTTAAAGGCGTACGGGTACAATATCGATTCCCAGGCACTGAACTATATCACCGACCAGAAGCTCGCCCACTACGCCAAATTGCCCCCCAAGGCCATCTTCTCAGGACAGATAATGCTGACTTTGGTGCTGGTAGTTATTGCTCTTATAATTACCAATTGGCAGATCGCTCACGTCCCGGACTTGTGCACCCCTACGCAAAAGGATAAGCTTTCGTGTCCCGGAGCCCTGACCTACTTCTACTCATCCGTCCAGTTTGGCTCCATTGGTCCTGCAAAAGTATTTCTGGGCCTCTATCCTGTACTTAAATGGTGCTTCCTCTTAGGAGCATTGCTTGTTCCTCCGTGTCTCTGGTTTAAGAGACGAGGACCGCCTACCCTCGCCCGCTACTTCAATCCTACGGTCATCCTCGGCGGGTTCCTTGTGTTCGCTCCCTATAACTTGTCCTACTTCACCCTGGGGCTCTACTTGCTGTTTGTATTCATGTACTACATCAAGACCCACTATCTTTTGTGGTGGGAGAAGTACAACTATATCCTCACCAGTGCCCTCAGTGCTGGTGTCGCGTTTCTGGCGATTCTCCTTTTCTTCACCTTCCAGTATAACGGCTCGGAGCCGAAATGGTGGGGCAACTGGGCCCATCACCGAGGGGTTGAAGGTACTGGTGGTGTCGCCTGGCTCAACGCTACCGCCGCTCCCGACGGCTATTTCGGTCTTCGCCACGGCCACTACCCTTAGCCAGTTGTTCCTCTTCGAGTCTGACGACGGCGTCACGTGCCGCCAGATTAATGTGTTTAAACCGGTCAGGACCCAAGTGGATACCGCCAAACCATCTCAGCACACACACCACGACGTTCCACCGGTCCATCATCGTGAGCAAGTGGAGTACGCGTCCACCAGCGGCGGTTTCACCGTCGTCGTCGCAGTCTTGAAATTGGACGCCATTATCGGCCTTTATTCTCCAGGCAGTGATATTATGAGCAGCACGAGCAATCCGCTTATCCTGAGTCAAATGGTCGATGAATTGACGTGCCTCGTCGACGCTATGGCACTCCCGAGCATAGGCGATAAACGTCAGCTGGCGGTCGTTTATCGGTTCCAGCGGCGTCCACCCAGCCGTGTAATCAATACTGACACTACTGACACTACTCTTGGTGTCTTCGGTGACCGGTTTTGCCCTTTCCTTTTCCTTGACTGGCTGTACCGGGTCCTTTGGTGGGGGTGGCCTCAGTTTCACGTACTCGTCCATAAACTGCTGTAGTTCCATTAATAGCTCAAACACACACACCTGGCCCTGCCACACGTTCACCAAAATCTCATTAAACTTCGATTCTAGGTAAGATTCATCGTATTCTTTAGCCACCACTTGGATAATCGTACACACCTCCTCCGGGTATTTGAGAGGGAACGAGAGCACCACACCCACTTCACTGTGTTCCGGCACCGTTATTCGGTAGATACGGTCACCTAATTGGTGGAGACATTCGGGGTAGATCGCGTCGATCGCCTCGAGCTCGTCGTCAAGCTCCGACATCAAAAAATGGCGTTCCCAGTGAGACCCAAACACACAACCCCACCAGTGATGAGCTTGATTGCCAAATACAATAAATCTAAATATAAATGGATCTTTGACCACAATAACTTTTAATTAAATTGATTATTTACTGATGATATGAAATTTATTGAAAGATCTAAACTAGAAATGTTGGTGTTATAATTCGATGTGTCATCTCATGGTATCGATTCATCTATAATACAGTATGTACCCAAAGGTATGCCTCCAGGGCTTTTGGACTCAATCTAATTGGTCTTTTGCTTTTTGTTCTTCTTCTTTGAGCCGTCACCTTTCCGCTTCTTCTTTCCCCCGATGAGGTCGTCAAGCGATAACGGCTTGTCCTCCTTCGCCAAAGTCGCCGTCTCCGCTTCCTCCGAGACTGAGGGTGCTGACACTAGCTGTCTGATCTCGGTATACCCCACCCGTTGGGTAGGGGGTCGGGCAGCGGCGAGGAGGGCGGGGGCGTCGGGGCACGCCCACATCAGCGGGTCGACAAGCTTGACTTTCCCAGTGGACTCGGGGGCCGTCCGCAGGTCCCGCTGCATGAACTTCATCGCCATCACCTTCAGCAGCATTTTCGGTGATGATATATCTCGGTTGGTGCTTGGAGAAAGGGTCCGAGAGATGGCGATAAGGAAGGTGTGCGCGATGAGGCGGGTGAGGCACCACCTGGTTGATCGTGTGGATCGTGTACAAAAGCATTGCAATTGAACTGTGTTGAGTGTATAGTGGAGAGAGAGAAGCGTTTCAAGTTGCGTTTCTTATATATCTTTGGTTGTTCATCATATAGTGTTGGTCATCGGTGGTCACAGTTTCTTAGTAATGGTTTTTGTGGAGTGAGGGATAGCGACTCATTTTTGTGCTCTTAATATGGATCTTTAGTAAGGCTGAAACCGGAGTGTTTCGGAGTAGGCGGAGTAACGTGACGTCGTGATTCATTAGATCTATGGACTTCTAAAGGGTATTCTAGTGGCTGGTAGGGGTCACGTCCACGTGGTGAATGCCTTGGATGGGGTTTACCAGAATAGATACGGTAGACCGTTCTGTAAGCGACTCAGCATTAGCATCCACCTTGTATTGCTTTCCCTCTAGATCCGTCAATAGTGATAACTGTCTCCCTAGAGGTCTGACGGTGGCAATCGTCACTGCCTGAGTACGCGTCAGCGCTCGCTGAAGTTTGTCAAGAGAAAGACACACGTGGCGACACACCGAGGCCACCAGGGAAGTGGGCGGTTGCTGAGCCAGTATCGTAACGAGCTGACGTTGTAATCTAGCCAACTGGCTTAATTTCGTAGGCTTTTGAGGCGAGGAAAGCGTCAGAGTAGGGACGCGTCTGCGACTTGGCACTTCCACCTCCACCGTCTTATGCTTGTGGCGAGGCTTGGTGATCCGGTTACCATCAATCACTCCCAACGGGGTACGCTTGGACTGGCTTCGTCGTTTGTGGGCCTGCTGGTGGGCCCGGGCCCGTTCAAACGGGTCCATCGGGCGTGTGATCGCAAGCGAAGGCAACGATCGCGACTGATCACTCTGGATGACCAAAATTCACGCCTGGTCTAAACCCGATCGGAAATCCGTTAATGGTGATCTTTGGTGGATTATTGACAAAACACTAATGGGCTTAACTCCAAGCAGGTTATAGGGGGGAAGTAATTGTAAGTTAATGGTGTTTGTGGAGTTGTACATTGTGCTGCGCAAGTTACCGAATCCATGAGTATTGACATTGAGTACATCAAGTAAAGTAGCCATAATTTTATCAAGTAGTCTTGTAAGTACATCGTGCTGATGGGTGCAATTGTGAAATTGATTACTTCTTGATTTAAACAAGTGATACTACGAAGATGATCACGGCCACCAATGCACCAAGCAAGATCTAACAACCTATATTGAAGGGATGGTGTATACATAGCAGATCACAAATTGATCACACCGGCTCGATGTCACAGATTTTCATCGATCTAGAGCGATTTGACGGCATTGTTCCTCGTCTCCAACATGTCCTGTGTGTAAAAAAAGGTGCCTAACCGAGAGTTCTCAGGCCTGCACATGATTTGTAGTAGAAGCTATCTTATACAGGACTATTTTGTAAGCAGAGAATCTACCACAGTGTTCGTATCAGTTTTAGCAACCGCAATCGTTACAAAGCCTTTCGGTGGAACAGTAAGGATAGTCTTAAATTGATTCTGTTTGCTTTGACAGTCACATATCAATTGGTACATCCTACATAAACCATCGCGCGCCACTCGTCTAATTCTCAATTTTGGGTACTGCATATTGCGCCGCTCGTCAAAATTTATTTCAAATTTTTTTTTCAAGTTTTTTTTTTCGAAGTTTTATTTTCCTCCAGAACATCTTCTAATTACTGTTCTACATATATTTGAGTTGTGTCGATCGTAAGTTTGGATTCAGAACTCACTTAAGTTGTTCTGTTGATGGCAAAACTTCGACCTGAAGATTCTTATACTACATGCAGGATTCACACTAGAACGCACATAAAAGCGTCATAAGTATGTCAGTTTTTCAATAGAGTTCATGAAAGTTTTGTAGCCAGTCTTGTAGCTTATCAAATTTGAAGCAGTGGTAACAATTTTGATCTGCTCATAATTTACAGTTAGTAGCACCATGTTTATCGTGAGTACTGCATATTCTGCAGGCTATTCTGCAGGCAGGGCAGGTAGGGTGCCATTGCTAAAACTACGTCAAATTGAACGTTAACTTGCCCAGAGATTTATCTACCATACTTCTGATGCCAAAGAATTTATGAAGCTAATTAGAAGTCTGTAGTAATTTTTCCTGATTTTATATGACGTTTTGTAGTTTTTTGTATGAAAATTCAGAAAAATCCCATTTGCTGTTATAGATGGTATTTGCACCGTATAAATCATAGTGGGTTAATTTGTTTCTTTCTCAGGTCCAATATAGGTGATGAAAGACATCATGAAAAATCATTAATGATATGCACATGCATTGCTTGTGTGCAAAACCCCAAACTTGAAAGCGTGCTATAAGTGTCAGTAACCGTGGCAGCACCTAACCAAACCCCTCAAACCAGATAAACACGCCCCCAGATTACAGTGATACTTGTAAAGTTGGGCTAGCCACTCTGTAAGTGCTTGATACAACTTGACTTGTTTTATCTTGCATATTTTTGATGCACCTGCATACAAACATCGTTATAGTCTAGGGGTAAAACCTATTCTATCACTTCTAAAAACATCGCAGGTCAATTTCAATGCTCACTAGATGTAATAGACTACGCCACAAACTCAAAGTCGTCCAGAAAAAAATTTGCAAAGTAAAAAAAAACTTTTTTTTCCACCGTTAAACTCACATAAAGATGCCAATTTTGAAGTGAACTGACCCAAAATCACTTCAGATATACTTCCAGTGCCAAAGAACTTTATTGAGCAAACGGATTGATTTTATCGGTTTTTCCTGATTTTATATCACACTTTGAAGATTTTCCAGAGGAAAATTCAGGAAAATCAGACAATTTTCAATTTTTGCCACACGTACTATTTGAACACTAAAAATTACAGTGATGTTGTTCATTTTATTCTAGGGTGTCATTTACCCCATAAATTAACATGGGTAAGGTTCTTTGTATTTTCTGCATATTGTGCTTCTTGTGCAGGCATGGATGTTGCAGGCAGGACATATGTGTCAGACGATGTCAGCTCTTAAAAAACTTGCAAAACCAAATAGATATGTGGTGATGAGAACAACGATCTCAAACTGGACTCTTATAGTGTGTTTGCAAATGGTAAAGCGACTCCATTGTATATTCAGAGTCGTCTAACCTGAACTTTACTCGTCAATTTGATTTGTTGACTGATACTCTATGGTCAACCCGACAGGAAGCTTTGAGTCCGACGAGTATTAGCATTTCTCTTTACTTCAACGTAAATTGTCATTTGCATTGACCCACGAACGATAGGAAGGTCAATCATTAAATCTTACAACTTTAGTCTGCCGTGCCAGCGAAAAATCTAGTATCGTGCAGACTCAATATTGTGGTATACAGCATCCTTATCTTTGTATGGCATGGTTGCGTATCCGATAAATTGTGAAAGATCAACAATGCAGTCAATACTACCAGCCACCACATAACTTTGTCAGTTGAGTTCATCGCGTAAGTATTACTCGTACACTGCATAACTACAACTTTGACACTGCTCACTTTCACACTGTCATCACTTCACCAACGCTGATTGTGATATCACCAGCGTCTGTCTGGTTGCCTTCATGGTCTCATTTTGTAGATGGCACGCACTTGGTGTTGCCAGGTATCGCCCTGGCCCCTACAATGAGCTTTTATCTTTCATGAAATATGCTATATATATATGCTAAATGCTAGATTGTTTATGCGATAGTAATGTGCTGAAATGCAAACGTCCCTCGTGTGGGTATCCCTCTCGTGGTTATCCCGAGCCTGGCTCCGGTTGTCGGCTCAAGAGCTCGGCCACCGTCTGGCGCAACTGGTTGTTCTCCTTGATCAATTCCATCTTCACCCGCTCGTTCTCCTTGAAAAGCTGCAACAAGTAGTTGAATTCCTTGCACAACTTGAGGTAGGTCGTCTTTAACGTCGTGTACAACGAGATGAGCCCCAGCGTCTCCGCCATCGCCCGCTTCACTTGGGCCACCGTGTCCATGTTGATGCCGACACTGTGGACGGGGGCCACCCCGGCGGGAGCCGCCACGGCCGCCAGCGCCGCCGCAAACTCGGGTTTGGGGTCGCCGTCGGCGGGCAGCTCAAACACCGTCGCCGGGGTGTCGCTGGCGTAAGGGGAGAAGATCGGGGTGTCGTATACGCCGCCGTCAAATGCCATGGCCACCGGTTGCGTCGCGGAGCTGTGTTGTGGGGTGATTGTCGACACGACGGGGGGAGGGGGGATGGTGATGATCTGGCAGAGTACCGGCGCTCACCTCACCACCGCTGCGGATCCACAAAATTTATTATGCGATGACCATGCAGTGCGGGCGACGTGATGGGCTACAATGAAGCACGGCACATAGGGCATCAAGATGATTGACTTAATGGAATGATGATAGACAAATATGGCTTTGAAATGGGGTCTCTTAGGATTTAAATAGTGCTGTTTACGAGACGATGCACCATGATGCAGGGCGAGTTTCATCTGATCTATTTCCCTCATCTGAAACTATTGCTCATACCACGTCTTCGTTACTCGTCTATTCGTAATGCTATGTATATGCTATCATTCCTTAGTGGTTGTTGATCCACCCCAATTGTCTCACTTGGTTGACGATGCCGCCGGCGACATTGGAGACGTCGTCGGCGACCTCGGTCACCAACTTCTCCAGCTCGTTCCACTTCTGACACAACTTGTCACACACGCCTTCAAAGGCAAGTTTGCCCGTGGCGGCGTTCTGGCCAAACCGCTCCACCGCCCATTTCTCAATCTTATCACATAATCGCAGGATCGAGGCGTAGGCCGTGATCTCAGCATGCTGTTGGAATAAAGTACGACCTTCGGGGAAGTCAGGGTCAGGTCGATAAATGACGGTCTCGTTGACTAATAACAAGTGGTTCATCGTCATGTTACTCAGCTTCATCACTAAAGTCTGGTTGGTCAAATCCACTTCAGAAACTTCCCGCACGTACGACATCTCCTGGCCACCAACGATGATCAGTAACCATCGCGGCACCCCCTGTTTACACCCAATCAATCGCTCAGTCCGCAATACTTTGGATTTGGGGTCGACACTGCGAGACAACACGTCCACCAGCACGACGTGCGGGGCCATCTCGTTGGGGTACTTGCGCCAGTTGGCGGCGGTCACTTGGTTCCACGGGTAATCGAAATGGTGTTGTGACTCGAAAAACTTCATTATTGGTAGTTTCGGTTTTCGGATCAAACGGAGTATAAAACGAGAAGGTGTGGTGGCTTTAATATACTGTGGAAAACTTTTTGCATTGTGCTTCGCAGCATTTCGCGTGCACGCTCCGGAAGGCCTCGGCTAGCGGTTTCGGAGCTGGTTAGCGGTACCAGACAGCACTCAACCGTAGAAAAAAAGACTACCGATAAAACCTAGGTTGTGTATGAAGTGTAAGTGATGTTTGTTAAGATATCCGGTGGGCCAATGGGTGGGAAATGGGAGTGGATGAAGGTGATGGAAAACTTATTGACAAATGACTCACCCCAGCGCTCATACCCAGGCTCACATTTCCTTTGCGCCGGCGATGACCACTTCAGCGTGATCCGCAGGGGTGATTTCTACCGGAAAAAAAGGGGTGGTGTCGGTGATCGGGGTTTGGCCTACGACGACTACCGATTGAGTCGTCAACCACTCCTTCACTTGGTTAGTTCCTACGGGAATTGACGCTTATCTAAGCGCGTGTTACCGAGTGTTTATTGCTTTTTTATGGTGGTTATCATTCAGAGGCACGGTACGGGTGGCTCACCCCAATTGGGATTAGGGTCACAAGTGGCCTCCGCGATTCTCCGTACAATGACGTCAGAGTATATGAGTATATGGGTGTGATGAGGAATCGAACCCGAGTACTCCCATCCTTGAAATCAAATACTAACGATTATTTTTGTAATCAACCACAATAATCTCATGAAAGTGCAAAATCATGTAATTATACAAAAACCAATTCCGAAGCCGACATAACTATTAATGTTAATCGAACAATTACAACAAGCAAATATTAGCAACCGTAGTAAAGCATTAAGTGGAGATGTTTTTAAGTCGATGGTTTCTTTTCTACTGTCGTGGGGAGTCGCGAGTACGGGGTGAGAGAACAGGTACCGAGGGTTACTCAAAACAAAACTGACTACAGATACGATGAAGCTTACCCCTAGTTTAAGCTGCAGCAGCGTCTAATTTGTCTTGAAACGGGAAGCGTGCGGTTGACCTTACAGCGATAGAGTGATGATCATGTTCACTTCCTGTTCAGGTAATTGAGAAAGACGGAAGCACGTGAAATTATCAAAAGAAGTGACACAGACCTGAATGATCGGAGTGCCTCAGGGCGTAGGAATCGACAACTGACCAACGATTCTCCACCACACCAGCCATGGCTTCTTTACTAAAGGATCAAAATCAATACATTGTTGGAACGAACTAATAATGGTAGACACATTTTAAGCCACCGCATAGCCAAAGCAAGAAAGCGCACGGCTCCACATTCAGGTTGGTCGGTGCCTGCCTGCATGTTAATCAATCGTTATGAACTGCGATCACTAATGAGGTCCATCTTGTCCTGCCTCAAAATGACACCATTTCTTGAACAATAGGTCAACTAACTTACCTTATCATACAATCCAAGTTTTAAACATCAATTCCAGCTTATTTCTGACTCTCAAAAGGCATGTTTTATCCCCGGAGAGCCCCCAATTTCGGGGCGCGTTTGGCGCAGTTACCCCACACTTTCCTGTAAGGCTAGATAGTTGGGCAAACGCAAGAAAGAAACAATGCCGGAATTTAACTCAGTTTTCCCAAACAGAAAATATCGCTGGTTTCACAAACTGGACACTAGTCCGAAGCGGTGTTTGTAGTCATTATTTTCCTCTTTGTCCCCGCCTTATAAATAGCCCATATGAAACTCCGAGTTTCCGGAGTATAATTTGTCCCCAAATGCAATTCCTTTGGCTATTTCTTCTCCTAGGGTCAGTGTTGGCGGCTCCCGTCAACACCCTGAGTGGCGCCGTTAGCAGCAGCAGCAGCAATGCCAGCGTCAATAATGATATCATCCCCGTGCTTCCCTCAGTGGACGACTTCTACCTGCTCCCCAGTGACTTTGACAAGTACAAGGTCGGCGACATCATGAAGATCAGAAAGACGCCGCACCCGTTGCGCTCAGTTTGGGCTGAACTCAACGTCAGTGCCTCATGGCAAGCTCTCGTTAAGACCACGGCTAATGATGGTAAGAACACGACGTGGATGGTGACCACTATCATCGAACCGTATAATGCCAACCCGAAGAAACTTGTCCAGTACCATATTGCCATTGACTCGCTGTCCCCTGATTGTCAAACATCGTACGCGATCCAAAGAGGTGGCCTGGCAGCCACTATCAGTTCACAGGCCGAAATGCTTTTCATCCAGGTATTGCTTAATAAGGGTTATTATGTGGTGTCTCCTGACTATGAGGCTTCATCCAGTGCGTTCACACCGGCTCATCAAGCGGCCTATGCCTCATTAGACTCAATTAGAGCTGCGCTTTCTAGTGGTAAAACCACCGGTATCGACCTGGGAGCATCAGTAGTCACGTGGGGCTACTCAGGAGGGTCATTACCGACATCGTGGGGAGCAGCATTACAACCTAGTTATGCTCCTGACCTTAAAAACAATTTGAAAGGAGCGGCGTTTGGTGGGACATTAGCTAACCTCACGGCAGCTGCTCTTAAGATCGACGACTCCATCTTCTCCGGACTCTTAGTGGGAGCCGTTGGAGGACTCGCTAAGACTTACCCCATCGTCGATAAGCTTATCCATGACCAATTAACCCCCTCAGGAATGAAGGAGTTCGAGAAAACGTACGATCTCTGTATGGTTCCAGGGCTTGTTGAGTATTTGTTAGCTCCCATATTCAACGGTGAAGGCCACATGGCCAAAGACGGGATGAAAGTATTTGAAAACCCTGACCTCCAAAAAGTGTTGGCAGAGAACACTTTAGCCGGTGAAACAAAGCCTCCAATTCCGCAAGTGCCGATTTTCATGTACCACGGTATGTTCGACGAGATCTTACCCTTTGACGAGTCGCAACGTGTTTACGATACCTGGTGTGAAAACGGCATTGGCCTGTTTGAGTTTGCCGCTGACATCGCTGCCGAACACCTTATCGGGATCTTAAGTGGGGCGGGCCCTGCGTATAAGTTCATCGATGAGCGTTTGAATGGTGTGGCTCCGATTAAAGGGTGTTCAAAGCTGACACGGTTGTCTAACTTCATGTACCCTAACGTCACCACTCTGCTTTGGGACGTGGGATCAGTGGCGTGGGACTCATTTAGAGGTGACCCAATCGGACCCAAATCGAAGTCACAGTAAGTCAAATAGCTTGTATATATGTACCAAGCAATGTAATCAAGAAAGCAGCCAATTGGTAGAATAGAATACCACCACGTAATGTAGCACCAAATAACGTTTGTCAAACATGGTTTTTAATCCATGTTTCAACTTAATTCAATAGATGAAATCTTTATTTTGCATCAATTTTTCCATATCATTCCAGTATATCTCATCATCGCTTATATGTGTATGAGTGGCGACGCGCCGCACCGAAATTCATCTCACCCACACCCTTCCACTGCCTTCATTTTCCTACCGCCAAAATGCTTGTGGAAGAAGTACCCAAGACTAATCCCAATTCGCTGACGGTGTACTTTTCCCTGCTGATCAACTTGACTGCTCGTCCTCAACGCAGAGCGCTTGGCGATGACGAGGGACCGTCATCTTCGAATAAGCGGGCTAAGGTCAATTATAACTTAACCCAGTTAATGCAGGCTCAAGTACAGGCTCGAGAACAGAGTCAGGCCCAAATAAAATCGGCTCAGCAGATTACTATCGAAAGATTGGCGCTGAAACGGTTGCGTGACTTGAATATCGACCCACACTTTGACTTGCCCCGGACGTTTGAAGCCGACAAGCGGATCGGGAATACTCCATCAACAAAGAAGATTTTGACGGCTCGGCGTAACCTCAACCTGTATTTTGAAGAAGAACGGAACTTGATGCTGGTAAACACCATCCTCAACCTGTGTTACCAGTTTATCGATTTCTCCGAGTTTGAGAAGAAGAAAAAGCAGCCTGAAGTGGTTAAGAAGGATAAGTTAAGGCTTTGTTGTATGTGTGGCAACTCGCTGAGCTACCTGAGATGTCCTCTGTGTGGTCTCTACTCGTGCAGCGTGCGGTGCAACCGGCTCCATCTTGACTCGCGTTGTAGTTAACCAAACGAAGCTAGAATAGTATAAGTTTGGACTGATGTGCAGGAAAATTTGCGAGGTATACAACTTGCCATCTCAGCCGAGTATTACTTGATATTTGCTCTGCTATGATTTGGTGGTGGTGGTGGCTAGTGCCGATCATGGCTCTACCTCAAGACTACGAGTCGCTTCTAAACTATGCTGAGTTGATCCACGCTGTCTACTGCCAACTGACACACGGTTTGGCTATCGACGTTGTCCACTGGTTCCAATTTAGTGACTTCCCCCGTGATCGTGATCTGGGGTTTATTGGCTTAGACCACACGTCTAAGGAGGTGGTAGTCGTGATGGCAGGCACAGGCAACGACCACGATTGGTTCCGCAACGCTCAATTTATCAGTGTCCCTCACGAGCTATGTCATCGGTGTTCAGTCCACCGAGGGTTTGGGAGAATTGCTGGGAGTTTGGTCAAAGAACAAAAGGTGATCAAGTCGTTGATGAAGAAACATCCTGACTACAAGCTCGTGTTTACCGGACACTCATTGGGAGGAGCAATTGTTCAATTATTTGCTCTACACTTTGTGGAATATTACGATCAGATGTTGGTGGTGACCTACGCCAGTCCTCGAGTGGGGAATGTGGAATTTGCAAATCACATGGATCAGGTTTTGGATACTCTCTCCCATTGTCGTCACCTGATTGAAACTCAGCGATTATCTGGAGGTCATATTCTGGTGACTCATGTGGGAGACATTGTTCCTGGTCTTCCGCCGGGCTATGCTCAAAGTGGATGTCAATATCATATCACCAAAGGGCCATTACCTCATCCACCTGACTCCTTGGTGAGATCTGATGCTAAAGCCGAAACAGGGGGCGACGAAGTTGGCGAACAAACGTGGGGCAGAATATGGCGTCAACAGGAACATAAGCTTCAAATGGCCCATACTGAATATTTTATCGACATTCTGCTGTGCTAATAATTTAATAATCTTAATAACTTATATTGTAAACATTGCGTTTTTCGTATAAACTGAGCCCAGGGTACGCTCCATCAGACTCTTTTAAACTCACACCTGGACTCTAAACTGGCTATATAAATATACTAGAACTAATAACAAACACTTTCGATCACTCTGTATCACATAGAAATGTATAAACTTGGCAAACGCCATATCTCCTTATGGCTTGTGTGACCAGCAAAACCGACACCAATATTGCACAAAAGCCGCCCGCGTGGCCCAATGGTTAAGGCGCTCGACTTCTAATCGAGCGATTGTGGGTTCGAATCCCGCCGTGGGTTTACTTTTTGCCTCTTATTTACTTCTACATGAACCACACAGCACGGTCCATTACCGTTCTCGTACGTCTTTCTATGTATGTGTCAAATTTATTGTCTTACTAGGGAGGTCATCGAGGACACATCACTGCGCGTCCCTCAAAAAACATAAAAAAAAAAAACACAATCTCGGACCGTGCCCCTCAGAACAATAGACACCATAGCCTCCCCAAAGTTGGTGTAATTGCGCCATGATCTCAGATGATCTATGGTTCTTGACATTATCAAACCATAATTTATTATTTTGAAAAGAAACCCCCTTCTCTGTCTTTATTTCATCTGCCAATTCCTAAAAACACTGCCTCGATTTCAGACAACCACAACTCCGACATTTCACTGTGTACTACGTGACGCGCCGCCCCTCCTCAAATCTCAACCTGACCTCCAACAAAAAGGAAAGCAACCACCGCGACAATCAAACTAACACTCCTATCAAACACTACAATTACCACCACGCCAACTCCTTTTCCAATCCATTGACTCTAATCCTCCCTTTTTCCTCCCCAATCTCTCCTTTCTTCTCATCTCGAAAACCAGTTTTGTCCTTCACGTGGTGCGCGAAAAGACACGACACTCGGGAGATTTTCCACCTACACCCCATTAACCACGAGTTGACCGCGGTCTCGATTGCCCCATGCGATTATTGGTTGTGCTCCTCTTTGTTGCCAGCGTGGTACGGGGGTTCTACCTCCCCGGGGTCGCGCCCACCGACTACGACAAGGGGCAGCTGATCCCCCTCCTCGTCAACCACTTGACGCCGCTGCCCCACGACCCCAAGAACACCGAGAAGACCTACGTGTATCTGTACGACTACTACTACCCCAAATTCCAATTTTGCGTGCCTGAAGAAGGCCGCCAGAAGCAGCTGGAGTCGTTGGGGCTGGTGTTGTTCGGTGACCGTATTTTCAACTCGCCCTTCAAAATTAACATGTTGGAGGACGTTAAGTGCCGCAAATTGTGTTCGACCAAGTACCTGGCGGAAGACGCTCGTTTCGTATTGCGTAACATTCGCGCCGGCTACCGCCACAACTGGTTAATCGATAATTTGCCGGTGTCGCCTCTGGAGGACTTGAAAAACGACCAGGTGCTCTACGCCAACGGGTTTTCCATCGGTAACCCCAACACCGACCCCGCCAGCTTGTTCAACCACTACGATCTCGTCGTCCAGTACCACAAGCGTGGCGACAAGTACCGGGTGGTCGGTGCCTTAGTCCGTCCCAGATCCATCAACAACTTCGGCAAGCAAGAAAACGACGACACTTTCTGCGACGACACTGAACTGCCGTTAGAACTCTCGAAGAAGGAAGAGACTTCGATCTACTACTCGTACTCAGTGACTTTTGAAGAACTGGCCACCCCTTGGGCCACCCGCTGGGACAACTACTTGCACGTGTACTCGCCCAAGATCCAGTGGTTTGCTCTCGTCAACTTCTCCCTCATGGTGGTGATTCTCGGCATCATCATCGCCCACATCTTCATGCGCACGTTGAAGGCCGACATCGACAACTACAACGACGTCAACTTGGACGACGACATTGCCGACGAGCTGGGGTGGAAGTTGGTCCACGGCGACGTGTTCCGCCCCCCTGCTAACCGCATGTTGTTGTCGGTTCTCTTAGGGCTGGGGGCCCAGATCTTGATCATGATCACGTTGACGATGGTGATCTCGTTGTTCGGGCTCTTGTCGCCGCTGAACCGCGGGGCGTTGCTGACGTTCATGTTCATCGTGTTCATCTTGACGGCGTTCATCTCGCTGTACATCTCGGGCTACCTCTACCGGTTCTGGGGTGGTGACAACTGGAAGATCAACACTATCCTCACTCCTACGTTAGTGCCTGGTTTAGTGTTTGCTGCCATCATCGGGCTCAACTTCTTCCTCGTCGCCGCCCACTCGCTGGGGGCGATCCCGTTCACCACCATGCTTGCCATTGTCGTCATCTGGTTCGTGGTGCTGATCCCGCTCTCGATCTTGGGGCTGATCATGCAACTGAAGCGCCCGCTTTTGAGCACCCCCGTGCGCACCAACCAGATCCCTCGCCAGATCCCGCAACAGCCGTGGTACCTCCGCTTCGGGCCCAACATCTTGATCGGGGGTTTGTTCCCCTTCGCCCTGATATTCCTCGAGCTCATGTTCATCTACAAACTGTTGTGGTTCAACCGCATCTACTACATGTTCGGCTTCTTGTTCTTCTGTTTCATACTCATGATCACGTTGACCGGGCTTATTACCATGCTCATGATCTACTACACCCTCTGCTTCGAGGACTACAACTGGCAGTGGAAGTCGCTCATCATCGGCGGCTCGTCGGCGGTGTACATGTTGTTGCACGCGTTGGGGTTCATGTGGACGAAGAACTTGTCCGGGTTGTCGTTTGTGTTGACGCTGGGCTACGCCGTCGTGTTGCTGGCGTTGGCGTTCTTGTGCTGCGGTTTCGTCGGCTTCTCGTGCTGCTTGTTCTTCATCCGCCGCATGTTCTCCCAGATCAAAGTCGACTAAGTCGGCGGCGCTGTGTTAAGGCAGTGTTGTCGCGGTGAGGCCAGCATCACTAAAGGTATATACCAAATGAGTCTTCTCCGGCTCCATCTATTTTGTACTTTTGTGCGATGGCCCAGGACCCCGTTGCTGTATATAGCGACGCCATGCGTCAATAAACACCTTTCTATCGGAAAATTATAGGAGTTCGGGATTTAAGCTTACGTATGTAGCACTAGATGTCGATTGGTACTGCATATAGTGCAAAATTCACAATTTTCATGGTCTCAATCTCAAACTGAAAATTGGATTCTAGGTTTACACACGATCATTTTGGCATAATGAGGATGACACGACCTTTCTTAAATTAAAATAGGCAACTTAACCATCGTACAAGGCCCAGAAGTGCTTCAACGCAGCTCCAGACGTGGATTAGTTCAAGGAGATCACACCCCAGGGGTTGCCTTGTTATTAATCCCCATATTCTTAATGTTTTGGAGGATACTCTGAAATCGCGGTCTGATCTCATATGCACCTGTTTCACAAGCTAAATTGGATCAAAAAAAAAAGATTTCGTCACAAAAGCTTGATACCATCCTTCATTAGTTGCAATTCTGCTACATCGTTGAAAATTTTAAAATGGACTATTTCCAAGAATGCATTACCCCAGATTTGAGATTGTGTCGACTGACACGCGCTTACTGCCAGTAGTGCGCTCACGTGTTGAATTATACACAACTCATTTGGAACTAACCCCATCTAATATTGGATAACGACGACGAATCCCATTGATCTTTGAGAGAAAGCAATTGATTGTTTACTGGTTTGTTGACAATGGCACTTACAGTAGTGCTTATTGGTATTGACGGAGCGCTAGCCAATTCAGTCTACAACGCGCTTACTGCCAGCGCTTTCAAGCTGAACGTGGGGCAAATCAAGGTCATAACTGGTAGCCAGCCTGCACAGCCACTCCCTCAAGTTGAATATATCATTGGTGATGTTTTTGAAGAAAAGGAAGCCCTCACTTTGGCTCAAAGGGTACGTCCAGTGGATATAGTGATCGCGCTTGCAACTGCTGATCGAAACGAATATAAAGGGGCTGGATCATTGTTAAGATCTGTGAAACATAAGTTGTATATCCGTCCCGGTTCCAGTGACGCTGAAGTGACGGAAGCATTATTACTGGGCTCCGTCAAATGGCCCCTAGGTCATCTTTGAAAGATTGACAGATCAGCATCAAAATTGGACATACACACTAAATTGATCGGAAATTCAGATCATGTTGAGGGTTTACGTTGCCTCTCATTTGTTAGAGGTGACATCAGTGTCTACAAGTTGAGCGACTTTAATAACTCGATTTGGCAATCATTTCCAAGTCTCCGATACCACCAGAGTTGAATCATACGAAATCATTAGTAAAATCCGTATTAACCATTCATAGTATGTGATCTATCACAACCACCACTGTAGTCGTAGGATGAGTATCCGTGGTTAATCCGGGGTAAGAATCCTCGAAAATATCACGTGACCAAACCCCCCGCCAAATGCCGATAAGCGGACCAGTGCGGGCATATATCCCCTTAGGATCCCAGATCGGAGTTGCAGCACCCGCTTCCATATCAACCACCCCCCTACTGTAATGCCGTTTGAGACGTCTCAGGAGGTCCGGGACCGGCGCGCTCGCGAGTACCACAGCGTGATGCTCGTGTCGGCGACCCGAGGCGTGTTGGAAGGGACGATCATTGGTTTGCTTTCCGGGGCATTGTTGATGTACCGCTACAACCACGGCGTCAACCGCAAGTTCTTCCACACCTCATATAAGGTGGCGTACATGGCGTGCTGGGACCTTGCCGGGATGACGTGGCGCATGGACGAAGCGAAGCAGAAGCTTAGGAAGCAGGCGTTGGTGGAGAACCAGTTGCGACAGGACGCCTATATGAACCAGGAGTTCTACGGAAGGAAATGATGAAGTGATTGGGATACGAGATTTAAGTTATAGATGAATATGAGACATTTCCTATTGAACTTAACCAATAGTGATTTTAACGTTATAATTTTCAAACACTGGTTAAATCCCAATTCATTGAATAGATTTAGAAGCATGAAGTGATTATTTAGGCTGATGATAGTGTTGATCCGATTTGATTTAAACAATTCTTTTAAGGGTCCATGCGCCGAGATATATAGATGAAACACGTATAGACTGACGCAAACAAAGCATTTAAAGAGTCAAAGGAAAACTATTAACAAAAACTATAAAAAAAACTAGTCCTAAAATACAACCTTGAAATTTACTTGTAGTCAAGTTGCCGGTGGTCCCGTCGAGCAACGGTTCGCACTATATAGCATCGACGCTGCCACCATACTAGACGATGGGCAACATCATGTCGTTGTCGTTTGCTCCCGAGTGCACCGAAGGCAAGAACAAGTACGACGAGTGCTTCAACGAGTGGTACACGGAGAAGTTCCTCAAGGGGAAGCTGATTGAAAACGAGTGCACCGAGTTGTGGGACGACTACATCACCTGTGTCAACGCGGCGTTGGCGAGACAAAAGGTGAAGCCGATGCTTGATAAGGCGAGAGAGGACCAGCCGTTTACCCACGACGAGATGAAGGAGTCGGTGGAGTCGGCGCTGAAGAAGTAAGCCGAGACTATTCTTGATGACACTACTATGTACATAGCCCTAAAATATATGACGAAGAAAGAGAATAGGGATGAAGATTACAATGATTGTTCATTGAATTCATATTCATGGCCTGTTAAAACTGAAGGGATTCCAAATTTCTGGGTTGTATGCTATATTTGCCACATGTTAGTGCTCACCGAGAATCAGCTCAATATCCCGAAACTAATTGACTGGTAGCCATGGTAACAAATTATTAAAATTAAATTAGCGTCTTATTTATTTATATTTTTGATGGATTCAATAATTTCTAGCTCCATGTTATCGATGTTTAGTTGAGTCTCACTACTTCACCACACTCATACCCATCTCGCATGGTGTTGAAGGACCTGAAATGGGACCGCAAGGCGAAGCGGAACTACGAGAAGAAGCATGGTATCGTCCTGTCACAACCACTGAAGGCTAAGGAAACACCCAAAGCCCGGTGGCTGGGTAAGAAAACCGCTGAACCCGAAAGTGAAGACGAGTGGGACTCCGATGTCGATGGACCGTTACTCGAACACTTCTACCCGTCGATGAGCGAAGATAGCCATCTTACCAGGGACCAGAAACTCAAATTGAAGAAACAGATCATCGCCGATATCCAGCGGCAGCTTGAAGAGGAAGCAACTAAAGCTGAACAAGTAGAGGCCGTGGACCGCAGTGACGGCATCTATTTGGGATCTGAAGAAGCTAAAGAAGAGGATGACCGACGAGCAGCAGCGGCGAGAGTGATTGAACAGGCTCGGGAACAAGGTGCCAGTGGTGGTGGTGAAGGAAACGATAAGTTTAATATGGCTGATTTCCTCAATGATCTCCAGGAGAAACTGTCTCAGAAGAACCGGAGAATGCCGACGATGAAGAACGTCGCTGACCTTGACGAGTACGGTTTAAGCCATCGAGATTTGATCAAAACCACTGACGACTACAACGACATGTTCCACAAGTCTCAGAATCAAAGATCAGTGAACAAATTGAAGGACGACGAATTGATTGGCCATGTCATTGGTACTGAGTTCAAACTGAGTAGAGGAAGAGGAGGAGCAGGAGGAGAAAGAGAGCTGAGAGTACTCACGGCCGAAGAGATTGCTGAGCAACAGCGACGAGACGAGATGGCTAAGCGCGATGCTCGTTGGCGTAAATTGAAACAGAAACTCGCCAGTGAGGGGGCTACGGGTAAAGCGATTGAAGTGAATAATTTCGATAATGAAGATGAAGAGAAAGTGGGGTGGCTTGGCCTGAAGATTGAGAAAAGTGGCGAAGGGTTGAGTGGAGACTGGGAAGATGACTTAAGCGAGTTATTGGGACTGAAACTAGCCGCAGTTGAGGAGGACAATCACACTCTGGAAGTGAACCAGCGTCCCTCTAACGTAGTAAAGCCAGTGTCGGTTAAGGCCCCGAGTAAAGCCGATATCCAGTTCTTGGATGACCTCTTAGGCTAATGAGCATTTTGATTTCAGATATTAATACAGGAAAGTTATGTGACGTTAAGCGATGGTGATGGTTTTGCCCATGGTGACGGTTTCAGCGTCCCACGTGTACCCCAAGAACGTTTTCGGGACGGGGCCATCGTCTTTAGGTCCCAGCTGTACCCGAATCAACATAAGCTTAGGTAAATGTTCCAGCCCGATGAGCAGCCACAGCCACTCCATTTGTCCCAAGTGTAAGTATTCGAGGTCAGCAGGCAGTTCCCACACGAATTGCGGTACCTGTTTCCTCGTAGGGTCATGGATCAGAAGCTTGCGTAATGTTGGAGGCAATTGGATGACATCACCCCAATTTGGAGTGAGCAAATTGACCACAGTAAGATGAGCAAACTCGGTAAAATCAATGGGAATTACATTGGTAACCATCAGATGGGTATAGGGAGACAAGTACACGGGACACTCTTCTTTCCACTCGTCGGGTAAGTCGACATTCACTTGGATGGTACGGGGAGACACGCAAAGCTCATCAAGCGGATCCAGCTGAGTGAGGTCTAAGATCAATGCTGGTACTGGTGGTAATTGCCAGTGTTTCAGCGGACTGATCAGAAGATTGGCAAGGGGTCCGTTGATGATCTGTTGCGGTTTAGCCACCACAAACACTGAAGCTTCTTCCAGAATGCCCAATACGTCGACTTTCTTAATATGTGGCAGCATGAGAATCACCGTCTTGAGGGTTTCATTATCTGCTAACGACACCTCCTCCAAATACGGATTGGTCAATTGGACGGATGTAAGACAGTTATTGTCAAGATGTAACCGGCGAAGATTGGGGAAACCGTCAAACGCCCCGTAGTGGAGCTCCATATTCTGTAAAGAGAGATCAACCACTTTCGGATGAGACCATATGAATTGAGGACTCCAGTCGCTATCGGCGAATATCACTTTACGCAAATTGGTGTACTGGTCCATATCACAGAAATTGTCCACCATAGACTTGGTAGACAAGACGTGGAACTCACGCAATTCCGGTAACTGAGCCGTGAGTTTCCCCTCGATAAAGCAACAGTTGTGGAACACAAGCTTTTGTAAGTTTTCGTGTTTGACAGTTCGAGGAGAAAAGTAGATTCCAAACCCGTCAATGACAAGCCGTTGAAGGTTGACGAATTGGAAAAGCATGTGTTCGAATATAAGCACTTCCTGAGGGGAACATCCGAGGGTAAGTGCGGTGAGTTGTTGACACACTTGAGCAGGCATAAACCGCACATAACTGCTACCACCATAGAAGCGGAGATAAGCCAATTTGGTAAACTTTTCAAGCGGTACTGTTCCTGGCTCATTCACCGCCATATGGGTGATCTTATTCATTAAAGGTCCCGTATATTGAGGATAATGATCAGTAGTATCGAGCCATGTAACATTGGGACAGTGTTTAAGGAGCAGACCGACATTTTGTTGGAACCAAGTAACTTTCTTTAGAGCGGGTAAAGGCTCAGTATTGGTGATTGTGAGTGACGAATTGACCACGACAATTTCCTCTAACGACTGTGGTAGTTTCAAAGTTAACGGGTTAGTGACATCTCGGAGTTCAAGGCGACGCAAGTGTTTATACCCTAAACAGTCAGGGTCCACTGGCGGTGCCCACTCAGAAAATTTCGCCCTTGTGAAGTTTGGTAACTCGGTAATATTGAGGAATTGAGCCCGTCTTGCGTGTGGGATGCCTTCTAATGAAGTCAACTTATGAGCCCACGGTTCGTCTTCAAGCCGAGCTGGCCATGCTCCTTTGACACGAACACTGCGAACATGGTCACCGTATTTCGTGTATAAGGTGTCGAAGCGGGTTCGGATATAGGCGAATACCACGTGTAAATACCCAGTATCTACCACCAAATCCACATTGGTAAACTGGGCTAGTATACACTCGGCATCCCACGGATACACTTGAGCGATTGGCAGTCTGTCCCCGTTAATGAGGGCAAATTCCACACTAAAAGTAATCGGTAGGTCGAGAAGCCGTTTCTGGACTTTCCGCTGGTCGTAGAACGCCGACACGAGCGCTAGCTTCAGCAGGAAGTCGACGTAGGGCCACAAGCACTCTAGAAGCGTGCCCCACCCCGAAGTCATGATCCCCAGTTGTGTTGGAATGTTTGCAAGAACTTTTTTTAAGCGTCTGTGCAAGCGTGTGTTTCAATCGAGGGACAACACGGTTTTATTTTCTTCGCTTCGCCGCAACCGTATTCCTAACTAGGGTATCCGTCAAATAAGGCTTTTAAGCGTCCCGGCGTCAGGTTCCTCGTTTGGGGGGTGCGATTCTGGCCCGCGGCCCTCCTATATAGTTTTGGGCCTCCCCCACGGGCGTATACGCCGTACAAACGAGGCATGAACTAAGCATAATTAGTCGTCATAAGATGCCTAATCATGGTGCCTAAGCCCCGACAGTGATGGTCCCGAACCGCGTTGAAGCCGGGGCTCCAGTGCGGCATTGTGACGTCTGATGACGCTCCCAGGGCATTCCGTCCGGGGACGCCGGATAGCACGCAACGCATCGACAGCGAAGCATAGGCACACAGCATATACGCGCAAATCCCCTAGGAGGGGCAGATACAAGCGCTTCGCTCGATTGCGGCTAAGCCAGGGTGTCGATGAGCAACGGCGTAAACAGTAGCTGTTAGTTTTGGTGGTTAGCCACAAGGTTGGGAGCGTGTAGCATACTCATTGTTGTTTTTCTGTGCCGCTAGCGAGATATAGGCTCTCGGAGTTAGGGTGGAGGAATTTTTGGGCGGCCGGTGGAGGATGCAGCGTTGCTATTCATGGGACGTTCGGGAGAGCTCGTTCTGGTCACTGCTGATACGGGGTCGACAGGGATGATGAATGTGAAACGATGTGGCGTATCCCGCGGAGCCGAGACCCGAGGCTGTAGGGAGGGAGGGATGTTACTTGTCGTCATCTGAGAGGCATTCGCCCAAATCGATACTTATTTGGGAGAGTATAGCCTTCGATGACATCAGATTTCATCGAACAGGGGTGGCGGCGCTTTGTGGCTCGGCGGCGTCCGCATTGGGGGATTAGGGGTGGGTTTAAGCCTCGGTGGTGGGTGGCCGGAGTAATGCGAAGTGCTATACCCGTGAAATGAAGCAGGGCGGGTATTGTCATAGAAAAAAAAGGTTCCACCAGTTTCCACGCGCGAAATTAGGGTCAGAGATAGGAGAGAGAGAGCACGAGGACAGTCACGTGTTACGACTATTGTGAATTGACTATTCAATTGAAGTATGATGAGAATAATCTAATATTTCTGTGTTGTACAATGGTGCCATTTCGACTGAATTTACCACCATTTATTTCCTCATCGACGTCTGCTGGTTCAACCCTAATCGACGCGGTGCGGGCCAATTTAACGCCTTTCCTGGTTCCCGCACGACCTCATCGCGCGCGCTGGCGGACTATAAAAACCCCTACTTCACCCCCATTGTTTCCATATCAATTAATCAACACACTTGGGGCGTTACCCATCTTACAGTGGCGCGGGCACTATTTCTTCAAAAGGGTTTGAAGGCCTCAGAAGCCACTGGTGGGCAACGCCACACAGTGTGGGAGAAGGTGATGAAACTAGGTTTCTTCTTTCCCAGTCCGATACGACTATGACGACAGGGTTGAAAACTGCAGGCGGTGGTTACCGCCCTCGGGTGTCTACGGACCCCGCAGGGTCACCCTTGCTTATACTTGCCAGTATTTACGTTTCTGATTCTCATCACCATGCCAGGGACGTTGACTTTTCCAGGGATTTTCACCAGGCGGTGTCCCCGATGTCGTTGGCCTGGTGGTGGATCCCCATCACTACCAAAAAAAACTACCAAAATGATACGCCGGTGATGAAATATTCCATAACATTCGCAGTTTCCTCGGTAGCCCACATCGAACCCATCCTTGTGGTGCCAGTGACCGCTTATAGACCTTCCATGGATGTCTGAGGTGTATCAAGTAAATCTTTGGTGGATTAGGCAATATTGACTATTGTCTAAATCACCATCTGATATTGATTAATATGATCAACGGTGCCAAAACACTGAGTGATGGTATCAATCGATATTACCCATGCACCATTAATCAATCTTTATTAGATTGGAAAACCACCACTAAAGAATGGAGATTTATTACTCCTAATGTTATCTTTAGTGATCTAAAAGATAGTAGTGGCTGCTACTGGTGTATTCTCGGTTAGCGGCGGCTATTCAGCTTACACTAACGCCGTTCGGTTCATCACGTTCATTTCTATGATCTATTAAATTAGGGGGGGCTCATGGCAGTCGTGTCGGGGTAAAGTAAACATTTGTCGGGGCTAGTTATTAACAGCACTCCGCAACAAGGACAAGTCCTCGTTGAGCTCTTCCGGTTTTAGCCCCTGGACCCCCGGGAACTGTTTGTTGCCGCGCGTGTTGGGTTTGCCGTTCAGCGGGCGGCTCAGCGTCAAGTTGAGTCCCACCATATCGTCGCTGGTCATGATCATGACGTTGAGGGCGTCGTAGTCTTTATCGCTCAAATTCAGGTCAGTTACCGAACCCGAAGTCGCCAAAATGTGGTGCGCCGGAGCCGTGCTCAGCTGGAACCCCGCCAGCAGCTCGTCGTTCAGCGAGTAGCGGGTGGGGTAGTGGCGGCGCCGTTTTGAGGCGGAAATGTAGCCGTTGCCCGCCAGCAGAACGTGGCCGTTAGCCAGCGCCGAGGGGCCATCGCTAAGGTCGTCGGCTTCCCCCGTAGTGAACCGCATTTCCCGTTTGCGGAGCAGCCGGCCCAGGTGGCTGAGCAGCAGCACCACCGCCGCCAGCAACGCCGCCAGCCCCTGGTCGCCGCCCCACAGGTTGGCGTTGACCAAATTGAGCAAGAGCTTATCCTCTTTAAGCTGTTTGATTTGATTTTGAAGCTTATCGTAAAGCTTCTCCTTGATGAGCTTGATCATCTTGTCGTGGTGGTCCTTGGCGCGTTCAAGCTCTTCCTGGTACTCCTGCTCGACCTGTTTCACCTGGTACTCCTCCCACAATCTGAGGCGAGTGAGTTCGTAGTCTCTCTCGATTTCGAGGCGGTTTCGTTGGCGGCCGAGGTCGTCGTTGGTCCCCTGTTGAAGCGTCGCCAATACCGCCTGGAGCTCGTGTAACAGCTGGTTGTAGAACAGTTCCTTTTCCTGAGCGAACGTGTGCTCAAGTTTGACGAGCCGCTGGCCTATCTGGTGGCGTTTCCGGTCCCGTTTCAGTTCCATGGCGCCTCCGGTCGGTGGTGTGGTTGTTGGCGGAGTGGAGGAGCAAAGATCGCGACGAGCCGCACGCCACGGGGGAGGCACCTGGGAAAGGACAATAGCGCTACCAGAAACTGTGATAGAGAGTGATTTACGACTACAACTATGGCTGAAACTATGGTTAGAATATTGAATACCGGTTTGACTTGACTGGTTGTCCACTTGACTGTGGAGTGAAATGTGGGGTCGACCTGTTGGTCGTGATCGTGATTATCATGGCTTCCATTAACCAACGAAGTTGAGAATAGTTGACGTTATTCGTTGAACCGTTGTCATTCGTGATTTCGAGGCTGATTTGTTGACCACATGGTACTACTTAGTCATGGGCATTGGTATCATGGAAGCATCAATCTACTGCGAGTTAAACCAAAGAAATCAACTCCAATCAATGAGATCATGTGCCGATTGTTGTTCCTTTACTGTTTTTTTACTATTGTCTAACCCACCGATTCTGTAGCCTACCACTAATGTAGAATGACCGATTCCGCTAATGACTGGTATATGATGCTAGTGTCTAACTTACGGTCTATTTAATCCTTTTTGGTTTCACCACTTTCGACAACATTAAGATCCTTCCCGTACATCACGGCACCAACAAACCCTTTACCCTTCAAATAACCGGCATTCTTAACGTAGCCAATCCGGTCAAACCCGAGCGAGTCCCAGATCTTAAGCAGCGCCACGTTCAGCTCGTACACCAAGTTGAACACCAGGTACACGTAGCCAAGCTTCGGGGCGATGTCCAAGTACTTAGCCCCGAGTTCTTTACCGAGACCCATCCCCCTCATCCGGTGGTTTACCACGAAACCAGCGTTACAGTGGTGGCTCAGACGGCCAATATAGTTAGGTTTGACGTAGAAACACCCCAAAAGCCGCTTATTAAGCCATTCGTCGGTGGTGATGGCGGCATCGATACTAGTCTCCGTTCCAGTGACCAAAATCGCCACAAAGTGGTGGAACCAGTAGCGGCAGAAGTCGTCGAACTCAAACGGCTTATCGTGGGGGTAAGTGAGCCCTTCGTCGATGATATGGTTGAATTCTGAGTGGAGGGCTCGGAGTAACGGTTCGGGAACTTCGTGGTAATCATTGACACAAAAAAGCGTCACCGGTTCGCCAGTTTTCGCCAAATTAAAATGGATGGGCTCAGTGACGATTTTAGGGAACTCGCCAGAAGCAAAGGGAAGCAGCGAATAGTCCATTTGGGGGTATTTGGTAGCTTCTACGTGGTGGCGTATAGGTTTGTCATGGTGGGGACAGGCGGCACCGGTGCGGGACCAGACGCACGATTTCCCGAACTGTACTAGAAGATTCTATATAGAAGACGCTATACGATGTAGCGCCAGACAAACCGCAATTTGCCCAGGTTAGCGTTCTCGACGAGGTTTGAGAGCCACAAGGGGAAGTCGTCGGAAGTGTAATCGCCGTAAAAGATCATCACCGGACCTGTATCGCCGATGACTCGGTCATACTCTTCCACCAGCTCCGAGTGGGCACTGGTCTTGATTGCGAAAAGATCGTCGTACGACAACACGCGCCCGTGGTACCACACCCAGTTGGTGGTGGCGATGGGGTTGCCGAAGGTGTCGTCATTCCACTCGACCTCGTTGAGGATCAGTTGGTAGCGGTTGTGGGCATCCTCAATGTCAGCACTGAATTTGCCTTCGGCGGCGTCAGCCTCAATCTCGGCGGCCTGGGCAGGGTCGACTTCTAGCTCTGTCCATATATCTTCAAGATCAGCCTCTTCCACAAACAACTCGGTGATGGCGGGGAGGTAGAGACTGAAGTTGTGGTGGGCAATCAGCTCGACAAGCTCGAGCTCGGGGGCACTGACGTTGAACGCCGCCGCCACGAGCGCCACCCACACCCAGATTAAGTACATCGTACGTGGTGCGCGCGATAGATCACACGTAAACCCATACTGATAACAAAATTAGAGGAAAAATTACGAAAAGACAAATATTAGAGGAAGCTGTCGACATTACTGAATTATCGTTTGAGGGGAAGGTTTGGTGGTAAAGTCCGAAGAGACGGACCGAGTTGCGGACCGGGTTACGGCCCGACCCGTATCCCCGATGTATACGAATCATCTACTACTACTGGTCACCACCAACGAGTAATCTAATAGTAACCGCTGTGAACTAATCTCACCAACTAGAGATATTTGTCTATGGAAATTCAGTTCAGCCTGGTGTTTTGAGGGGAAGCTGGCCGGAGTTTACTGTGTGGCGTGTGGGGGGAACCAGCCACCGAGTGCCGACAAAAACACTCCCGCAACTGTGGAGACCACCCCACCTTTAGTAGGCTGTTTTACCTCGGATGATACCCCCTCTAAACGGGCTTGGTTTGCTTGGTTTTGCTGAGGATCGGCTGACATTAACTTCACAGGCTCACAGGGAATACGGGCTCACATGGCCTCCCCTGGACCGACGTCATTTCGGAAAAACTCGGTGGCGTCAACTTCCCTTCCGCCGTGCCTCATGCAAATTGCCAAGCTTCATCGCTTGTTTTTGGTGGTAGTCCCCTCACCACCATTAGCCCCACTGATGAGAATAGGGGCAAGAAGACGGACAGATGGTCACCGATACCTCTACCGAGGTTCGTCCCCACTCACTGAATGAGATTCTATACCCGAATGCCGAGAAACCAAGCTCATCACTGGCCCCCTTACTTGTGTAATATGGTACAAAACGTGGCCCTCACAACTTGTGAAAATTCACCGGCGAGGGGATCCCCGAATTACACTAGCGTAGTTAATAGTGGTGGTGAATGCCTTTGTCAGAAAATAGAGATGCATCACAGGTCTTTGGGAAATGACTAGCGAGCTAGCAGAACTACTCTCAGTCAAAGGGAAACATAGTAAAACGTTTACATTGTGAACAGTAATCTGCGATGACATAGTTTTGTGGATTAGAGTTTCTCCGCTCAGGTGGGGAAGAGAAAAATGTTATTGTCCGTTAAAGGAGGGGAAGAGCGGGTGAGGCGACTGTGATTTATTCGAAGTGGGGAAGAGATTACCTTCACTTGTGGCAAGTGGGGAAAGAAGGGTGGCGAGTGGGGTGCCTGTAGAAGTGGGGAAGCGAATGAATTGTGATTACACTGTAACAATTATTGAATGCGCACAATTATCACAAGGCATGCGGGGACGATAGGTAGAGTGGGGATGCTGGAGTGGGGACTTTGAGTGGGGACTATGAGTGGGGATTAATGGAGTGGGGAGAGTTGAGCGGGTGAAAGTGGAGATGTTGAGAGGGGAACTGGAAAAACTGTTGCTGCCCGATAGACGTTGGTGGACGAATGTCAGATGGCCGTTGGTTATTCACCCAACGGGTTTCTATGCGCATAGAAATGTGTCAAAATAATGTCAACTGCATGCAAAACGTACCAAGGGTCCGCTCAATTCAGAATGGAGCCTGAAGTACTTGTTTCAAATCATAATCACATTTCTTTGACAAAAGTAGTTTTTGAAGACAATTTAGTTGTAATATTTTACGATAGATGGCACAGGCCATCGCGCTGGTCGGAGTCAGTGAGTATTTGTCCGAGTCAGTAATTAAAGAGGGGAAGCATAGCTAACGGACAAATGGAGGTTAGCAAGCTCTGGGCTTATCGGACACACAAAGTCCAAGTGACGACCCGGTGAGGAGAAATTAGATTTATCAGTGGGGAAGAGCCATGTGGGGCTTGTGGGGCTAGTGGGGAAGGCCTAGAGACTGCAATGGCTCAGGTTTCTCCGAAATGACGCCCAGCGGGGACTGAGGGGACGCCCACCACCACAAACTGAATGAGGGGACGCCAGAAACGGCAGGCTGACAAACTTCCGCCAGGTAAACAACAGCTGACAAACTAAAGAGAGGGGAAGAGCAGAGGGGACGGTTTGCGTTGCTGAGGAGAAGAGAGATAATGGCAAAACATTGTGGGGACTGTGGGGACTGAGGAGACAATGAGGAGACAGTGAGGAGATAGTTTGCGGGGATTTTATACTGGGGATTCTACAATATGGCAGCGGCGACGGCGGGGAACTGAATGTGCTTTCGGATTAACTTGCTATGCCATATGAATATGTGTTATTTGCCATATTATTCAGATACACTGGTTTTTCTTGAATTTTTTCTCGAAATTTAGTCCATAGTGAGCATGTCCTGAGGCTGGAAGTCGGCGTTCTTCTTTGGTTTCTTCATCATCGGCTTCTTCATGTTCATTTGCAGAGTCAGCGGGGGGCTGGAGGAGCCAAACGGCATCCACAGCGGGCGGTCCATGGGCCGGTTCATCGCCGCCATGGCTTCGTCGCCGATGGAGCTTTCTCTGGATCTGACGGGGATTTCCTTGGGGTCTTCACGGGCCATTATACTGTTGTAGAAGATGTGATTAGAGGAGAAGGGAGACAATTGGTTAGGTGGCCTTATATACGAATCAGTAGTCAGGGGTGAAGCCATCGCGTGATCACCTTTATTCAGGAGTCTCCCCATACATCGAGCTGGTGGGGAGACTTTCTGTTCAATTTGAGCATTCCCATTGGTAATAGGCTTCGCGAGAAGATACTAGAGAAGCATAAAATTGATACGAAGAACCAATGAAGGCAGCTCATCATCGAATTGAGGATACTAGCCGTGTCGAGGTGGTTTGGAGTTGGACGAACTTGATTCTTACCAGAGCTCATAAACACGGGGTAAGGCCTCACGTCTACATCCTTTGATGACCATACTTCTCCCCGCCTTTTTTTGCAGATCACGAGACTCAGCGAACGATTTTGGGAAATAACAGTAGGATAATCCAATCGTACGAACATCATAGGCAGAGATCCTAGCCACTTATACTTTGTTCTACGTCCTCTATTTTGCGTTCTAGTGGATCTTAACCCACCGTACATTGGCAAGTCTTCAGCCGCACTTGGCGTGACAACTCAATCAAAGGCTTTGACTACAGTAGCTACTATCACTCGACTGAGACTTTATAGATAAAATTTTGCTCAATCATAGCAAATTTCGAGGCAGGTTTTGCCACTATTTCAGAAGGATCTAATTCTGCAGGACTTTTAAGCTGGCCGCCTTGGGATACGGCGATCTAACTCTTCAAAAAAGATCTTTAACAAATGCGTCTGGTATGACTCACCCGACGGTTAAACCGCCATACTATAGTGTGATCTTCACCAGTATTCGTACCCTGGGGAACGACGACGAGTACCACGCTATGGCCACGCAAATGGTGCAATTGGCCCATACTATGCCTGGCTTTCTCGGCGTCGACTCGGCGCGTGACTCTAAGCTTGGGATCACCGTGAGCTATTGGAAAGACGAGGCCAGCATCGCCCATTGGAAACAACAGGCTGATCATTTACAGGCTCAAAAGTATGGTAAACTGAAGTTCTATGAGCACTATACCGTCACCGTGGCTCGTGTAGAACGGGCCTACCAATTTACCGCCAAAAATCAATAAATGAAATTTTCAAAAAAAAATCAAAAAAAAAAAAAAATTGGAAAGAATGTGGTAGGAAAAAGGGGCAGTCTTAGTTAGGATCTGATTGAGTGACGTTAGCTAACAGTCCCCTGAGACCAGCGACGCAGAGTTGAACTGAATCTGGGGGTGATTATAGAGGGAGACGGGTCACGCGAGCCAGGGCTCAAGAGAGAACGACCTCCCTCGAAGCCCCCTAGTCGTCGGCTAGTAGGTCGAGGGAAACCGTAGGGTCGGGGCCGTGTGCAGGATCTCCTACAACAAAGAACTGTAAAACTTCATGGAGTCGAAGTTGGTGTAACTGATGAATTTATTGAGATATTTACTGTTCGCCAGGAGCGCCCGTAGTAATGTGGGCGCTGGCGTCGTGGGCACCCGCGGGGGCCGGCGCCAGGTCG